TTTTATTAATACTATAAGTAGGGGAAAAAGGAAGATCAAAGAAACTCGATTGAAAACTCGGGGTGAAGCACAATTGGTTTCTTGATCGCAAAATAGACAAAGACAAATTTGACATACAAAGACAAAACAGACAAAGACAAATTTTCCGAGAACCCGGAAAATTAGATGATCCATTCTACAATCATGGACAAAAATCTTGGGACAAATTTGCACTTGTGAAAGTTTTTCACATCTTAAGCAAACAGTCGCGCGCAAATGCAATTTCACTTGCCCAGCCTCTCCCCACAGCCAAAACGTTGAACACGTTTGTTGAAGACAATTTCTCTTGAGGTTCAACATTGCATTGGATGGGGAAGGGGGCAAGAGCAACGCATTTTCAAAAGGATAGAAGTGCTTTCTCAAACTCAGTTGTTAAACAGATAATTCATGGCATTACATTGGCGTTCAAAGGATATTTGTCCACCATTGTAGTATGAACCTTTTCGAAAATTACACATTTAGACGCAAGTGTGGCACACATTGCTATAAATATTCAAAATATTCCTTTATTGATAACATTTGCTAAATTGATTATATGTAAGGTTTTTCCTTGAGGTGGGAATGGTAACTTGAGCTCCAGAATTTCTTATTTTCCCCCTTGTTTTCCATTGATAAATTTCAAAGTTCTTCATCTAAGATCCTCTTAATAATAGAGAAATATCAATTGAAAGTCGGCCTTGACGTAGAAATTACCAAGACTTGTGTCCGCTCAGTGATATCTAGGAACTTTGTAGAACCGAGATCATCTAGAAAAGCTCTTAAGGGTCGATAGTTTTGATTTGAGAATTTTCACAACGTCATAGGAAAGCCAAATTATCGGCACACAATGCATGCACAAGCGATGACGTTTAACTACCAAGTATAGTATTCTGGCTAGAGAATTGGAAAATAAACAAACAAACGGATGCTTCAACGTAAATAGAAGTAACTGAAGGTGAAACCTGTCATCGTTATTTGTAGAGTGAGGTGAATTGCAGAGAATAAAACAGGAGTAAAAAAATAATGCACATTGTCGCGGTGGGAGGGGGAAAAATCCTTTCTGTTGTTCCATGCAGTTGATATATATCGGTTGTAATTCAATGTAATAAAGTCACCCAAAGAACAAATTTGTCTCCCCTAACTTTTAATTATTATCTATTTGGCCATGTTTGCAGCCTTAAGGATCAATTCAGAAGAGTTTCAAGTCATAGTCATAATGGTAAAAAAAAACCACATAATTCACAAGCAGCTTAAAGAAATATCAATAATTATATGTTCCAATCCACTATAAAGGGGAAGGTGGCCAGTGGTCTAGTAAATATTGTCAAACAATTTGTTTCGGAGGGAGTTTTCTGTATTCAGTTCAATACCCAAGCATGATTTCCTGTAAAGTTTTATTCTTAAGAGACACAAATACGCATTTCACTGAAACATAGACGAGAAATATAACCCCCATGTGAGAATTTAATGAAAGTACGATGATAATTATTATTAAATGAGTTGTATTATATGGTACGTGTGTTTAGCCTGTTTTATACAATTCATTGCATGTCTTACCATACTTAACTTTAACATTAAGGTATACTATACCAGTCAGCCAGGAAAAGCTGTCAGTATAGTAACGACCCCCCCCCTCCCCGAAAGTAGGGACACTCCGAAAGAAATGTTATAAAATTGTGACCAATATAATAGATTTCGAAAGTAGTGGCCCCCCGAAAATAGCGAGCTCTTTGAAAGTAGGAGCCCAGCACCACCCCTCTCCCACCGAGAATAGTGAGACCAAGGTTCAGTAGAATATTTATTTTTCGAATCAATATTCAGGCGAAGGTTACGTATGGTAACTTGATTTAAGGCAGTCTATAACAAATGTATCGCTTATGCCACGGAGCGTTGTGAAATGTCGATTCGTGCTTCGTTAGTTCATGTTGCTATAAGAAGGGGAAAAAGGAAGATCAAAGAAACTCGATTGAAAACTCG